TGTTACAATTAATTATAGGTAAACACCACATTTACCATATCTATATCAAACAGTTTGTGTTAAAATTTTACCTAATATACCTTAACTTATATGTAATATATATTTTGTCCAAAAAAAGGTCATTACAAAAACAAAGGATCTAAAAATAAAAATAAACTTCTCGGGCACTCAGTCCGTCAAGTTCCTACTAATGGCTGAAGTTATTGCACTGGGACTATCAAAGTGTAAATCAATTTTATGACTAAAACCGTTCAAAATTTTACAGAATCTCGCATAAGGCGAGTTAACGCCTAAAACAGTTCTTCTTAAAGGAGGGCAGAGTGGCGTAATTGGCTTCCGAGGCATTCTGAAGAACATGCAAATTGACAAGATTTAACAGCTCAGGGTCATGTCAAACCATGTCGGACAAGTGCGGATTGACGGGTGCTAACGGCTGCAGAGGCCAACAGCTTCCAACGGCTTAACGTGCCTTCCAAAGCACGGAGGATCCATTGCGAAAGTTGTTTAATTTACACGAACGCGAACCGCAAACGATAACCCTTTTTCACTATCAAGCTCCTCAACGGAATTCTAATATTTACACTGAAACCTAATAAAACTACGCCTTTATTTAGGCTCCACCAATAAAGTTCAACATCAACTTATAGAAGACAATAAATTTTATAGCAACGCAATAACGTTGATATATATTCGTTTTATTTGATCGACTTAGCAGATGGCGTGAGTGAATCAACGCGAGTAGAATGACGCGATAAAGTTTTATGATTGTTTCGCTTTGTAATTAAAGTTTCGACACGGATCCGTCGAGTTTGGGTCCTGAAAATCGATCACCTGTTAATAAACATATCTTCAAGTACAATAGGTATGTTATTGAAAACTTTAAAATTCTTCGGAACACAGTTTTCGATAATAGCTGGTTTTGGTGCTTTTCCATTCGTTTGTTTTCCATTAAGTAATAATAAAAATTACAGTATCTACTCAATCAGCTCTGTAAGTATACAACGATACTCTACTAGATAGGGTAGGCTAAAAAGGTTTTTATTTTGCGTCCCCCTATAGCTGTATGGGAAACTCTCGTGAAAAGCATCAAAAATATTTTGTCAATTTCTATAGCTTTGCGTCAACCAAATAATAATAATATTTCCCACGCTCACACTAATTAGCCTAGTTCCAAAGTAAGCACTGTAAGGCTTGTGTTATGGGATGCTAGGGTAATGGATATAATAAGTACGGTCGCGGTCAGAAAATATTTACCACCCTAAGGATCATAATTGCATGCACACATTTAGGTCGCAAGTTCCAAATGTCATAATAATTTGATTGACCATATATCTTTTTTGTAATGATATGACAATCAATCGCTCCAGCTAGGAGATGGACCTACTACTATCAAGGTTTGATATATATATATATATATATATATATTATCTTTTAAATACTTCGCCTCACATTAGGATTTTCTTCTGTATCGTGGGTGAAATTACAAAAAAAACTCACATGCACATTGCACATACTCCCAGACCAGGACAAATTTCTGTAGGCCATACAAAATATCTGTGCCTTACGGGAATCGAACCCGCGACCCGTTGCGACGACCTCTGCACAAGCCGTGACGTCAAACAAATATAGAAAACCATTGAAAAACCTAATATTTTAACTAAGAATATGAAAAAATGATAAAATAGAAACTTCAAAAATCTTTATTTAATATCTAGTATAACCTCCCTCTGCAACTAGGGCGGCAGGTAGTCTATCTTGCATTGATGCAACAAGATGCGCGCATAGAAATTTCTTTAAAAAACTTTCAACGTCGATTTGTGACTTTTGGCTTTCGACCAATATATCCTTAAAAAAGTCTCCTTAAAAATGCCGACAAGTTACTATAGGCTTATATATTTACTTTAATTTTGGTCTTTTTAACATGGAGTATATACACCATTGCGAACTGGGCTTCTATTTATTTGTCAGTTCATTGAAGTACGCTAAAAATAAGTTCTCCTAATATGACGTGGCGTTTTTGCTGTTTTTCCACTGATTGAAAGTTTCGTGAGCCGCTAGGTACTGTAACGTCCGTTACGTTACAGCCTCCTTGTTTGGGTAAACTCTTTGTTCATGCAATGCCTACGGCAGGCAGTTATATTAAAAAGTTAATGTCATGATTTTAATATTTGAAATAAGGAATCGTCTGTCTCTTGATAGAAACCGCAGTACTTTTTTCTGGATTTTGGCGTCAATAGCTTATCAGTATTTCCAGCGGGATGAAATCAATATTTTTCTCGTCTTCAAAATTTGAAGTTGACATTTTCGATAGATATAAACGACACAGCAGCAGTTTCAAAAAAGTCACAGGAATATGTTTTCATAAAATTAGAACCGACTTATAAAAACTGAAAATGAAAAAATAAAAGGAGAATGCCCAATCATGGGCCCCTTTTGAGGTTTCTTGTGCCTCATTCAAATATGTACCTAAAAATCGAATTTATATTTTGATGCTGGTGACATTTATATCGTAATTTTTTTCACCCTGGTTATTAAGTTATAATTAATTAGATATTTGCCCAATTTCCGCTTGACATATTTTTTTTTATATTTATGGCTTGGTTGGTGACGTATTTCTCGATGGGTATAATGTTGCCAGGTATTAATAAACTTAATTGATTAATCGATATTAAACTCGTGATATTCGCTAAAAGTAAATTCGGATTTTTATCAGATTATATAAATAGTAAATTGCAATGTACCGGTAAGAGACATAAATATGGTAGAAAATCACTCGATTTTTATCTTCATTGGTACTCAAATGATTTTTGTCATTCGAGTTACGCAATGGCATAAGCAGGATTACCCCTCCCTCCCCCCCCCCGAATTAGTTCAATCGTATTAAGTCGATGCTATTTTTTAAGGTAGGGTTTTGGTATTGGCATTGCCCCCTAAAGCCCATAATGCACCACCACCACCTAGCTTCGGCCCTGACCGGCTGCCTGATAGCTCACTGAAACATTATTGTACTTTTATACATTATAATATATTATGCAAGTTTATATCAATATAGTGATGTAGATAGGACCTAGTTAAGAAAAGCATGGAGAAAATGTTAATGTCAAGCTATTTTATAACCTCAATTTCCACAACAGAAAATAAATTATATCTCGTGAACCAGGGTGACTAAATTGGAAATTCCTTTTGAATGTGAATATAGCGTATTTTTCCTACAACCTCCAACAACAAACTTCAGGGCACAACTATTTTTCAAAGGGGCCCAAGTCTCCTTACTAAATGGGCATTCTCCTTTAGCGACTGATATATTTGAAATTGATAACTTTTTCACGATACCTTGGTATCGACTTCAAATGTATAAGTCGGTAAATGGTCGGTTTTTATTTTTAGTTTTTTTGAAGTTGCTTATAATTTTATTTAAAATTATTTTATTTTCCCATTTTTAGTGTAATACGGAATACGCTACTGGGTGGAAATTTTACACGCGTAGGTAGATATAATCGATATACGGGGGTGAAACCGTGGGACACAGCTACTATATTATATACCAAAAACATTCCCTGATGAATACGCATTGACCGAATAATACAGGTCGAACTGTGAACATCCTTTTTTGAAGTCCGTTAAAAAACTATAAGTGTAAATTAATATTTCTAAATATGTTAGTTACGTAAACAATGAAATTTTATTTGTCATCTTAACCCTAAAATAATTTAATATTAATAAATATATTTGCTGAAATTAAAAATATATATATATATAACAGCACTTGTACGGTAAGATTTTTACAGCACAATTATGGTAATATGTTAGATTATGAAACTAATAACTGTGTAATGAGAGTCAGTTTACGAGCAACTGTGTTAAAAAAAATCGCGGGCAAACATACATACGTCTGTTAAAAAATATCAATGACTATTATACAAGATAGATTACAAAGATAAAAATCGAATAATATGAAACCAGGTTAAGTTTAATAACAAAGGAGATTGCTTAGCTTCCATACATGTTTGGCGTGAAGACCAATATGTGTGGTACGTTTAACTAAGATATAACCTGGATAACACGTCTGGACTGGGACAATAAGCTCGGCACAATGGTTAGCGTGTCCGGTTTACGATCATGGAAGTTAAGCAACTTTTACAATGGCCTGTCATAGGATGGGTGACCAAAAATCAACCTTGAACTCTTCGTGCTTCAAAATTCGGCATGAAAAGCAAAACTGTTGAACACATCAACGGCTATGCACATCATGCCTAACTGAGGCATTGTATATATTAAGCATTAGCTTCCGGATTTCTCTTGCACGATGTAGGCTTTTACAGTTTTTGAGTGCAGCGCCGATAGCGCCACCTGTTGAAGTGGAGTATCAAGTCATCCTTCGTTAATTAAATGTGAGGCTTGTAGATGGCGCCACAACAAGTTAAAGCACGTGCGTCCTACTCCAATACATAATTCAATCTCAATATATTTTATTCAGTCTAGGCTCTTACAAGCACTTGTGAATGTCAAAAAGCTACGCCGTCAGTTCGCAAATCTACGGCGGGAGGCTTTGTACTGAGAAGAACCAGCGAAAAACTCAGAAAGGGCTGTTTTTCTTTTCTCCCTGTTTTATATACAGAGTCACCAAATTCAAAAATGATTTCAATATTAGATAATTCATGAAGTCAGAAGAATATGAGATAACCCATATGGATGGTTTGTGCTTCAGCAGTCAGAGTATTAATAAGCTGATAAGGATGTTGTCTGGACTAGAGTTAGACACTAATAATCTTGATTATTATTTAGATTTCTTATCGAGTGTGTATCGAGATTTCAGACCGGCTAATAAAGGAATTGGGGCTATACTCGTAATATAGCGAAATGCATATTTCATATATTATGTTTCATTTTTACAAATCCTTCAATGGTCAGGATGTTTCATGAAATCTAATCAATTAAACTAATATATACAAAGAAATAAAATAGTAACTATAAATAAATGAAAAACATTCAGATGTTAAATTCAAAGTACCTGGAATGGTACTCTGTTTGCCATATAATCCCATCACTTATGTTTGTTTTAATTTTACTGCAACGTAATTTTATAATAATAATTACACATTATTTTCACCACAATTGTTTATTTACATAATATATAGAAAACACGTTGTCCCATACAACAAACATCTTGATACAGACCAGTCAAAAACATCGATAAGTATTATCCTTTGGATTAGTTGGTTTATAAAATGTATTCATGTTTAAATTAATATTCATTTCATATAATTAGATACAATTACAAAAAAGAAAATAGAGTTGATTATTACATACTTTTAAACATTTGTTAGAAAAAAAAAACCACTGAGTCCAGGTTTCAAACGGGATTCGAACCCGCATATTCTGCTATCAGGGTGATGATGATGAAGATGCCGAGTAGATTTTTTCTAATAAATTTTTGTTTAGAATACAATGTGATTTAACACAAGATATAAATATACTTCTTTAATGATTCAACATAAGTTTTTAAATTATACAATAATCTAATTCTTCCAATGAAGTGCCTTACATTAGCTGCCTGCATATTTTGGTTATTTTGCACAACTTACTCTTTTAAATTATAGCAAATATTAAACATTCCTTTCAATTTGACACAAATATGGATATCTTGCTAATCTTAAAAATAAAATAAATCACTGAGTAGTTATAGTTAAGCATTTTTTTTTATAATCTGCATGGCTTGGCTTTCCAATGTAGAGACACATACATTTTCACTTCACATAGCCCTCAGTGATTTAGCCTGAAATACGTAGTAATTTGCACAGGTTCAAAAGAAGATTAAAATAATGCAGTTCAATCGTACATAGCCAGCGGTAGAGGGGCGTAGAGTACGATTAAAGTTGTAACAGAGGTTTTAACGGCGGATTTTCGGTTCGTGTTGACGCACCCATCTGAGGAAGCGAAGCCAATGTTAAATTATAACCAGCAATGATTCCTTCATTGTGAGCGATATTAAATCTACAGGACCATAAATACACCCTGGGCTATGATTCGTACACAAATTTAATCATAAATAATTAAAATAAGTTACTTTTAGTTTATTGTTTATAGTAATACTGTGTAAAATTATGTACTTAGTACCCTTATTAGCCTGATATGATAAAACAAAATGAATTTCCGTACACTGGATTATTTAAATGGAGAATGGAAATTCACACCACGAATACAACAGCTACTGTGGTAAAGTTTATTAACAACTTCGATAGCAATTCAACATTATGGGAAGGAGTAAATTCAACTTCACATCGTTATTTTTATGCCTTATAATAAGCAAAATCTGAACCAAACTTTAGACTTTTGTTACCTGCAGGACACATACCTACATTTGATGGCGGACGTACTTCTTGGTAGTTATTTCTAACTTTGTTATTGTATTTTTTCTAAATTATTTATCTACTTATCAGCAGTGACTAGATTTTGATGTTCAAATATAAGTTTGAATTTTTAAATAATTTTATGATAGATGTTAAATTATCAAGGTGAAGGGTCCTAATAATCAAGGATTTGGTTAATGGCTGAAGTTGAGGTTTGATTTCTGCGCTGCATTTGAAGCTTAGTGGTAACTAGAGGTAAGTTGTATAAAAACATGTCGAGGTCAAAAGAGTAAGAAGGCCACCACCTATAGGAAAACCCAAAGGATTTTTTCCCTCTGTACTATCTTAATCAACCGTACGACTTAAAAACGCTTTATACTCGTAATTCATATTCAAATAACTATCCCAATATTTTGTAAACGTGTAATTTAAATCAATATAACTAAATTCGATGAGCCGCGCATCATATATCATACATCTATATTAAATTACCATAACTTAAATTGCAATCGAAGTTGTAACCCATTTTTTCAGTCAATATTACATTTATTACAAAAATACTTTCGTATTAAAATTTATAGGTATGACACATATAAACACAGTTGTTCGCTTAAAATTTTCATAAAATACACGGGCTGTGTATGCTTACATAATAAGTATTATCATTTAGAGAAATGTAAAAAATATTGCTAATGTGTCTAGCAAATTCCTTTACAACGGTATGTGGTCGACATCGGTATATAGTTGACATTTTTTTACAAATATTATGAATGATAAGACGCAACAACAACAAGTCTTGGAGAACATCCACTTACAGGCACGAATGCACGATACAGTTCGGGAACCTATCTCATAGAATTGAAAAACAGCAACTGTACAGTTTATATATGAAGAATTTGAAAAGAAAACTTTAGTTGTCTTGCTCTTGTTTGTCACATTGAAAGTACATCACAAAAAAGTTATTATACTTGAATAGAACAATTGCCACATCGATAATAGTCACGTATATTTATGTCATCGTCTAATCATAGAATATGGAGTTCATCATGCGTAAGTAGAATTAAAAATCAATCAAAAATAGATTATGAACAAACTCTATATTTTGAATCACAAACGCTTTGTTTTATAACCAATTCCATGATCGTACAATGACACAATAACAAATCTTTTGAACCGTTTATACACATTTTTGCTTTACATTGAAATCCTTATAGCAAGTTTCACGATGATTCACATCGACAAGAGGGCCAGCCTCTAAATTCATAAGAACATGAAGAAATTTCCAATTGCAATTCAGAAAAATCTCTTCTGCAGACCATTTGTTAAATGCTAACTAAACTATGCTAGCTCTTTCTAGAAAACGGAGAAAAGCGCGTCATTCACCTCGAGTACTCCACCGTGCCTCGACGGCCGCGCTTAGAGGAGGTACTCTCATTGTTCAGGTCTATCGAACGAGGTGTTAGGCGTGCTCTCCACTTTCTTCAGTACAATTTTGAAAGCGAATGTGTGCTTTGGAGAGACAGACGCTGGACGAGGGGTCTGGGGAGATCGTGGAGGCTTCTCCGGGGGCATTTCTGAACGTGTTCTCGAACGCCTTAGTGGATTTCCTCTAATGATAGGAGCTGACAACGGCCCTTTCGGCTGTGGGGATAACCTATTTGGTGACAAGCGACTTGGTGATGGTTCTGGTGTACTCGGAGGCAACATCAATGGCGGTAAATTGGCACATGGTGATCCGCGAGAACCTCGACGCTCTTTTAAGCCCATTGGAGGAGGAGGAGACACAGGAGTGTCGTCTTCTGCTGCTGCAACAACTACAACAGGTTCTGCTCTTGCTAAGGGTGCTGGCTTCTCATTTGCGTCCAACGCGACTGATCTTCTGAAATAATTTAATCCATTTTCTATTTCGGCTAAAGCTCGCTTGACGAACGGGAAGCTCTCTGATAGTTCTGATGTAGATTTGCGTACGGGGAACTCTGTTTCACTGTCACGCTTCCTAGGTCTGCATCGTTCAAAAGTGGGATCGCCAGCAGCAGCCACTGTCTCTGAAACCTGTCTGGTGAGAGCTGCGTGTTTTATAGAGTCGGATTTTGATCGCGGTTCTCTCGTTTTTGGCGTAGGCGAGCGACGGTCACCAAACTTTTTGCTGGCAGCGCGTTTGATGGAAGAGAAGAGGCCAAGTTTTTCCGGTGGTTTGTCTGGTTTGTCGGGCTTGTCTGGAGGTTTGTCTGAGGTGGGTGCGGGGGTGACAGGGGCGTTGGAGGGGCCGGGGACGGGTTCGGGTGCGGGACGGGGGAGGTTCCCCTCGCGTTAGTTGTGCCGAGAGTCTGACGACGGAACATCGCTCGAGCCGGTTGAAGAGAGGGTGGTGTTCGACCCGTAGGGGTCGAGTGAAGACTGCACGGACATGGAGCGACCGGCGCGGCGCACTCGTGCCGGGGAAAGCTTGCCTGGATCTACGCTGGCCGGGTCTGCCTGCAACAACAGAGTTATAAGCACTCCGCACAGTATCTTATGCGCTACATAAACAAAATAAAAGAAAATAAACTCCTCCAATCTAAATCTACTGCATACTAAATCATTTTTTGAATGTCCATCACTTTCAATATTTATATTTTTTGTATACCAGTGATCTGGTATAAAAAACAACATCAACATTTGTGATTAAATAAATAATTAGGTACTTAGATCTATCGTCATAATTAGTGATTAAAGGAACTTAGCTGAAAGTGAAGTATAACCACAATTTTATTATACGAAGTTCAATGTCCGAAGACATTAAATTAACCTTGTAGTGAGCCTTGCTACGAAGTACCCTTGACTCACGTTTTGATAGAATATTGAGAAAAATTTCTATGTTGTCTGTCATCTGTCAAGTCATTAATTTTAGAGTTTAAGTACTGTCAACAGCGAAAAAATATTGACGAATTTGGATATTGGAAAAATCATCCCATTTTTTTTATCCATTTTGGGCTATGTACGTCTAACGTTTGATGTATTGATTGGGTTAAAAAAAGCGAAGTATTGAATTATGTGCCGATGACTGTACCAATGAACCGTTGTATGTTAAAGGGATTATTGTATATGCTGATGTCATATTATAATTGTATTGAACTTCACTTTCAGGTCCTTTAACCACTTATAATACTTCAGTTCAGTCAAGTATCAACATTCAATTAACCTTGTAGATGTTAAGAGCCTGGTTAACGTAAAACAGGAAATATAATTTATTGATTACAATCAATGCATATTGCTTTAGTGTTTCTATGAAATTCTACAAGATGTTAAAAATGTATTTTATTTTTAATAAGCAAGGACCTACTCCTACCTTTAAGTAGATAGATTTAATGTAAGTACTGTTACTAGTACTTAGAGGTAAAAGTACTTGTACAAGACAAGTAATAAATGACAATAAGCAAATCATACAAATTAAGCTAATGTAATAGAGTACACAGACCATTATTTATCTATATTATGAGATAATTCTTCTTATTGCATAACTGGTGTGTACCAATGATGTCTTATGTATTAGGTATGTGCTTCCATTTTTAGCTGGTATAGATCCAAATATTTCATTCTCACAATGGGCGCCGGTCATAGTTGTTTGTCTAATATTTTGGCAACAACGACATTCTTGTGGTTTAATTTAAACGACCATGATATATTGATCTACTCTTATTATAGATCAGGGTATATTTAAGTACGCCAAGAAACATTATTCTGTTCTTGTTATTGAGATAGGACATTCAAAAGCGTAAATTTCTTGACGAAACACATAATTGTTCTAGGATAATATCTGATATTACCTGTTCAAGAATACAATCCTCGTCCACCTTCTGGCCCCGGAAGTACAATTTTATCGAATTGTTCACTCTATTTCAAAGTATCTAATTAATTTTGATTGTCTTTTTGTCATCTGTTGGACAAACTGCCATACCATATCAGCCTATTTAATATGAATTTTAATTTACTTATTTAAGTATTATTATATTACGTGAATACATTTTAATAGCAAAAACTTAATAAGTACTTTGAATCCAGATTACCTTACCTACTTAAATAAATAATTTACAAATTAAAAATTAACACCCCCAGCGCCGCTCTCAGGAATTGTGCCCAAAAGGCTGGCTGCATTGTTGCGTTGGATAGCAAGGCTGATCCGTTGACCAAGATAGCTGCCATCCTTTTGATCATCAGTCACTTCGGTGAGACTTTTTTGACATTTTCTAAAAAAGGGAACAGGCGTTTGGACTCCATAAGCCCATAGTCTCTACACCAAACGGGACCGATGTGTAGTTCTTATTGATACCATACATTGATATTGAATTACGTTAAATAATTTGGTGTGTTTTTTTATGTAAGTTAATAGAACTTTTTCCTGGAAAACCTAATAATTACCTGTGGAAGGCATCCGTCATAAAAAACTAATGACTTGGCAGATGGTGACAGGTGACAGATAACATAGAGTTTTTATAATATTTTCTCTAAACGTGTGACGAAAGAACTTCGTAGCAAGGCTCACGTCATTGAATTGAAGTATAATTCGGTATGAATAGACGCAGCTAGGATTATCTATTTGCATCAGAAGTAATTGTACTACTAATAGCCAACTCAGTAAAGAGGTAAGACTGAATTTTAAATGTTAAAATTGTAGCGCCTGTATCTAAAAGAAATATTATAAGTAGGTGTTATACAGAAAACTGCTGATAAGTGTCTTTCTGAAGTAAGTAACAGAGCTTCAAAGACTTTTAAGTTCAGAGAATTCTTTATTCCCATGGTGCCGTGTCTATAGACTTTATAATCGCATTTATTTCGTTGGGGTCGTACACCATATAGGAGCTCGATGGTGCAAGTGCTTAGCGCGTCCAGCTGCGATGTTTGAAGTAAGCATTTTTTGCAGTGGTCGGTCATTGCATGGGTGATCAAAAATTTACTATCTCGAGCTCTTTATCTCGTGTTTCGGAAGACACGTTTAGTCCCGGCTGAATATGTAGACGTTAGCACCTTTAAATCCGCATTGGGTCCGCGTGGTGAGTCATGGCCCAAACTCCCTATTCCATCCCTAGGGAAAGCCTGTGCCCCGGCAGTGGGGACATTAGAGTCTGCCTAATGAATAAAAAATGTACAAAATATAATGAACTATAATATAACTTAAGAAATATATGACTACCGCACCTGGTAAGCCAGAGCGTTCATGATGATGGAGTATGGCACCAAGCCGAGCGGGTGTACCTCCCTCATGAGCACGTTGGCCGGGATCTTGTGGAACTGGATGTACTCCAAGAAGTTGCCAATGACTTCCTTCAAACACATGTTCTGGTTGGTGTCGCAGTATTTCTTACTCCACATCAAGGCTGCCTGTAATTTGTCATAAGGATATAAAAGATTATTTCTTATTACTTTTTTTTATCATTCAACTGAAACAAACAAATACTAGAGCAATTTCGCCACACCACAATGTCTCGGTAGCATAATTTGTTAAATGTACCCAGATAGCAGAAGATGCGGGTTCGAATCCCGTCTGAAACCTGGACTGAGTAAACTATTTTCAAGTAAAATGTTGTTAAGATTTAAAGGAAATAGTAGTTTATACAAAAGTAAAACCATATATTTATTACTCGTGTGGGTACAATGTACTAAATTGTACTTACTTTTAAAAATCTCAATGAAAATGAAATAAAGAAAATTTTATAACAGAATCCTGTACTCCTTAAAATTTAATAAAAAAACTGAACCAAAACTTATATTAGTAAAGTCCACTAGGACATCGACAGAAACGGGCCAAGCGCGAGTCCGGCCTCGATCTGTTATAGGGTTTCATATAAATTGGCGCTTCAAAAATAGTACCCGAATAATAATTTGGAAGCCGGGTGGTGCCAAGATTGATACATGGAATAGATTTTCATTTCTAGTCGGTATATGTGTTTCAATCTTGACGTCACCCGACTTCCAAATCATGAACCTGATATTTATATTCAATTTTTAGTTCTATTTTAAATTTTAAAGCTGGTTTTTATCTATCTGTTTTGTACAGCTACTCCCTCGCGTCGTAGTCAATGGTTTCATTATATGACTGTCGTAGATAGCATTATTCATACTTTTGATTAATTAAGTATATTGTGTTGTCCATGTACTTTGTATATATATCCCACTTTTGATGCTACAACGAAAATATAGGTAAGTAGCTGCATAGCTACAGTAACTAAAGTTATTAAAATGTACTATTCTAAGTTTCCTATTTTCTCCATCAGACATTTAACTTTTCGATTTATGAGGATCCACTGACCAGAGCCATAAAGGATCTTGTGAGAATCTTACTGTATCGTTTTTGTATAAGGCTCATAATCGATTGAGGAAAATGTGATAATCTGGTAGCTTGATGAATCAATCAAAGCAAAAAATGAGGTTTAAAGAACTTACCTGAAATTTGGTAAACTCATCAGCGCGAAGTTCATCTCTAGCTAGTATTAGTCTCACGACGTGTTGGGGCAACAGTGTGAATGATCCAAGATTCAGAACCTCATTTCCGTGCTCATCGACGAACTCGAGCACCTGTGTAAAATATAACTTAATTAACATACATATACATAATAACTACATGCTACACATGGTCTACTTGGTCTGGTTGGATTAAAAAAGCTAACACATGCGCTTTTATTGACGTTTGTGAATTCGAATTCAAAATGAAAGAGTCAGTAAAAGTCTGACGACAACCCAGGCAACCCTGGCTTTAACGCTCCGTATTCACATATGGTATTATTCGATAGTTTTACTCTAAAGCGGTAAAACTTAACGACACGCGTCCTACGATCGAGCCCTCCAGTTGTTAATTTTGCGGTCCGCACGTAGATTTTTACTCGCTTTAGAGTTAAACTATTCAGTAATACCGTATATGAGTACGGACCAGACTAGGTACCATTAACATAGGTGTATTTTATGTGTGTTATTTAAGACATAAAGCTAAAAAGAAATCGCTCCAAGAGAAAAAGTCACAGAAGAAGGCACTGGTTCTAATCCACCTTGAGTCTGGTTGGAGTATTGCCACTAAAATTTTATTTAAATTTTTGGAGTAATTATGAAAGCTCTGCCTGAGTAATAAGTAGAAAATATTTGGGCAATATCATTTCTTTTGGTGGTGTACCATCGGCTATAACCTTGACGGTAAAGTGGAGAATCAATTTCAACAATTGTACCCCTGTCGGATTCAGGCCGGTAAAATAAAGGAGGTTGAAGCGATATGTTTCCTGTCGTTTCAATTAAACCTACATATACCTACTCAACATCAGTTGTTACGGAAAATTTTGTTATATCCATACCTTCTATGTGAAATTAATTCCCGGTCCAGTAAAGACTTTTATGTTTTGCTTTGTGATTAAAGTTCACATCAAACAAAAAGATGTAAAGGTACTGATTAGTTGCAATAAAACATGCACCTAATTTAATATAAAAAATACTGGATGGATCTAGTTGAGGCTATTTTTTTTTAAATTATAAAGGTCGTACCATAAAACGCTTTGACACTGTTTTTAAACCATGCTCAGCGTCAGCCAAAAATTTCATTGTAATTTTTTTTCTTGTACTCTTGTCGAACAGCCGGTTAACTTTATGTGGATCACCATCCAACCAATTACGCCCGAAATAATTAATTTTTGGTGGTGACCAAAAATTAATTATTTCGGGCTCATCCGTACTTCGGAAGGCACGTTAAGCCGTTGGGCCCGGTTGTATCTGCAGTCGTTAACGCCGCATTGAATCCGCCATGGCTCAATCTCCCTATTCCATCTTTAAGGAAGGCCTGTGCCCTAGCAGTGGGGACATTAATAGGCTGATGATGATGACCATAACTGATTTACCTTCTGCACTAGTGATTTGGTACACTTGTATTGTATATATCGCTCAGCGGAAGCCAGGAGGGCGCACACTGTGTCCACGGTGATGCAGCATTGTACGAAGCCTGCGCAGGCGCGGCGTAACTCGTCAAGACCGTAGTAGTCAGCTGCGTTCATCACTCCTGGAATAATAATAAATAATAATATCAGTTGCGGTTCTAAATTCACATATTAAGGGACGATAGTTAGTAACACAGACTGATGAATGTAACGTTTAAATAAGAAATGTTGTTAGCGAGGCACTGAACCCACGTAACCATTACACTCAGGTACACTTAGAAATATATATATCTTGATCCATACTAAAGCTCTTCAAGCTTAAACCGCTGAACCTATTTAGATGAAAATCTGGATAGATACAGTTTCAGTTCCGGGGAAGGAAATTGGATAGCTTATATCCTAGAAATTATCCTGAAAAGAGGTAAAAAGGGTGTTGGAAATTTGTATGAGAAACCAATTTTCGAAGAAACGCAGGCGAAGTCGCGGACACCCACTAGTAATATACTAAATTTAATTGTATATTAACATTGTATCATTATACTATAAGTAAACTATACCTATAGGACCACTTGCTTAATAGCGGAAATTGGCCTATAAGATCAAAGTATGGCTTATGCATAATCATGTGAAGCTTAGCCCGTTCATTGAGAACAAATTGGATTTTGTAATAAGATAAATTTAGTGAACCGCAAACTTGTATTAGGATAGTTGTTACATGATAAAACTGTGTCACAGTTCAAATAAAAAATCTTAATATATGTGCTATTTATTTATTGCGATAACATCATAAATATTGTAACAAGTACCCTTCTAAATACCAAATAGTTACTACAATAAGCAAGTCACTCTACTGGTCAAAGTGATAATAATATTATTTTATTCATTCGTCATGTTATGAAGACCTTCGCGGCCGAGTGGTATGTACGGCAGTTTTTAAGATGTCATCTACCCAGAGCACCCGTTTTCGAATCCCGGTGGGGAAAATTTTAGTATGACGAAAACGGGTATTTGGATCTAAATCATAAATGTTTATATATACTTCCATATCAAAAATATTTATAATAGCATAATATGTTAAATAAAGTACAAAATAACACCAAAACGGGTGTAAAAAACGTTATACCATTATACCAAGGTAAGATTGAAAATGTTTAGAAAATGAAAAACGGCTTAATGTAGAAAGTTGCCAATACTTTTATTGTTTTTCGAAGTAATCTCTGTTCCTCTCTACACATCGTCGCATTCGATGGAACATCTGAGAAAAGCAGTTTGCACATTCTTCCTTAAGGGTCTCTTCTATGGCATTGTCGTACACATCAGCGTGTCGTGGCGGATGCGGGCGGCAAGATGCACTCTCACCGCATCTTCAGGGCTCGTAAAGAGAATAACTCGAATTTTATCTTTAGTTCTTGGGAATAAATGCAAGTTGCAGGGTGCCAGGTAAATTCTGTATGGCGGATGACTCATTATCTCGACACCTGCCATAGTGAAATATTCAACAGTCCGTTTTGCGGAGGGCGCTGAAGCATTGTCGTGGTGAAGGAGGATCCTGCTTCGAGGGCGCTGCTGTCGAGTTTTTTCCAAGGCAACAGGCAAACAGCGATTGACATACCAGTCTGCAGTAACTGTCCTTCCATCTTCTAGCACAACTGTCGCGAAATGACCTTACCGACCAAAGAATGAGGCAATCATATTTTTTCCTTGACTTCTTCCTTTGTTTACCTTAGTTGGCGAACCTCGAAAGGAAACACACACTGTGATGATTGTATTTTGGTTTCGGGTTCATAGCAATATATCCAGCTTTCATCACCTGTGACGATATCAAATATAGCATATGAGTCACCGCCGTTGAACTTATCTAACATGTGGCGACACCAGTCCATGCAAAGGTGTTTCTGGTCGTCGGTTAAAATATGGGTAATCCATCTGGTACAAAGCTTCCTGACGCCTAAATGTTCGTGTCATATTTATTGATCTTGACTCATGGCCCGTATCTGCTGATAGGTCACTCTCTTATCTTCCTGTATCATACGTCGCACATCACTGATGTTATCTTCAGTAGTCGCTGTTAAAGGACGTCCCTCACGCGGATCATCATTGACATTTCTACGTCCACGCTGAAACTCGTTATACCAATTGTAAATAATGGCACGAGAGTCGGCTTCATTAAAAATGCTAATCGCATTCTGTTGTGATATTAAATCATGCATAATCTGTGCCTGTGTGTAACCTCTCTGGTCATGTAATCTATGAAACAAAGAAAAAAACTATGGCTGCTTGTATTTTGTACTTGGCATTTTTTCTGATTATATTCTTTGAATAAATCCATTTTTTACTTTGAAAATAACACACAGCCTATCATAGCTTTGTTGTTGAGTAAGCCCACAACGAAAGTCATAATAAATCATTGACCGAAATTTTTCCCGCGTTCACGTGTAACAAGAGTTTTAGATTTGCCGTCAATTCACAAAAATAAATGACAAATTAATTTAATATACTACATTAGGTTACTAAAGAGTTCTAAAATTGAATTCAAAAAAAGTTTTCATTAGCAATGTTTCTAACTGGCCAGTTCTAAACATTTTCAGTGTTACCCACGTAATTGTTCCTTCTACGGAACCTTAAAAGGTAGTTTCATCATGTCCGTCTGTCTGCCCGTCTCCGGTTTTGCTTGGAGGCTGTTAGCACTAGAGAGCTGTAATTTTGTGGAGATATTTATATGAGTACTAGCTGTCCCAGCGAACTTCGAACCGCCATAAAAAAAATAGGGGTTGGTGGTGGAAGGGCAAAAATTTTGGGTTATATTTATTTTTGTATGATGTATCATAAAAAAATAAAAAAAAAATATCTAAAATTGAAAAAAAAAAATTTTTTGGGTGGATTACTCTTAACATTTAGGGGGATGAAAAATAGATTACATCCGATTCTCAGACCTACTGAATATGCATATAAAATTTCACGAAAATCGGTCGAGCCGTTTCGGAGGAGTTTAACCACAAACACCGCGACACGAGAATTTTATATATTAGATGTTAGCAAATAGAATGGACTCCCCTCTGCTCGGTCAGTTCATCAAACTACATGTTTGGTGACCAGGCCGACGGGAGGGTGCAGTAAAATTAATAAATTTTTAATTATTTTAATTTTGAAATTTGAAATTATTTATTGTTAATCATTTCTATACATGTTAATGATTCAATTATGTTTATATATGTTATAATGATGATTGAAATTGTAATGAAATACTAACATAGGTTAAGTAAAATTGTTACTAACATTATATGAGACCATGTCTTGAAATAAAAGATTTTTATTTATATCAATCGCGCCGACAAATTGGTAGAATAAAAGTTTGAAAAATATTTTTGTTTTAGGGGAGCTATCCTGTATGTAGCTTAGCTAGTTTTTTTCATCGTTTACTGCATCGTGTGGGGTATCTTAGAATAGGTTCTTTAAAATTACTAAGACTATTTTTTGATTTAGGGATCCGTTTACGTTTGTACCTATACAGGGTGGCCGGGGAGTTGACGTTCATGGCGTGACATGACATGACGTTTTCGAGTTATAATTTTTTTAAAGTTTTTTTCGTAATTTTCACCTAACATGGCGACACATACAAAAGCTTTTTAGAAGACAATCTATCCATATTACTGGAAGATGTAAATCTTGAATTAAGAAGAACGATGGTGTTCCAGAACGACGGGGCGCCATGTCATTACGTGACACAAGTGCGTCGCCATTTAGACCAGACCTACCCCATCAGGTGGATCGGACGACGAGGGCCAATTGCCTGGCCACCAGGCTCGCCTGACCTCAACCCTATTGATTTTTTTATCTGGGGCTACTTTAAAGAAATTGCGTACGCCAGAGAAGCTTCGAGTGAAGAAGAACTGAGAGCAAAAATTCGCGAAGCTGAAACCACTGTGAAAAATAGCCGTGAAGCTTTTAGGCACCTAAAACATATTTTTTTGCGCAGATGTAGATTGTGTATTTCTGTGGGAGGGCGAAATTTTGAAAATTTGCTTTAAATAAATGTATTTTGTTAACAATTAACTGCGTTTTACTCAAATCCATCATAACTGAGAGAAAAGCAAAGATTTCAATAAAAGAAAATAATTATTTTTTTTCCTTGAAAATGCCTTAATTTACTTTGAAGGTCAATTACAGAAAATAAACCCTCATTAACCCTATCTTTATTTGACCTTGTTTTAAAGTTTAATGTTTCAGAAAGTTTCTAAAAGCACTTTGAACTCCAAATCCCCCCATTTACATTTTTTTTGATACTTCTGAAAATTTGTGTGTACTGAGCTCAAATCGTAATTTTGAACTTTCGAACAAATTCTAAGTGAATTCTGCAATGCCTAGATAAACCATAAGTTTTAGGATGATAGGTTAGACTATGTTAGTCAGTTATTACAAAAATCTGAATCAGAAACGTCCAACAGAATAAGAAAAAAATCGAAAACCGATGTTAGGTGAAAATTACGAAAAAAACTTTAAAAAAATTATAACTCGAAAAGTACGCAAAATCGTAGAACATACATGGGGGTGATTTGGATACTCCTCATCATAAAGTATCTAAATTTTACTTTTGAACGTCAACTCCCCGGCCACCCTGTATAGTTAAATTAAATCTTAGTCCACTTGTAATCCATTTATCTTTGGTAATATTTCCAACTTTCTTCATTAAACGGATTACAAATTTGTTTTCAACTTCGAGGAAAATTTTTAAGGACCCCAGCGAAATACGCTGAGTATTTCGTGCGGCATGTTTCCCTTTTTTGCGAATCGAAGTTTAATTAAAAATAATCCTTGTACCGATCGGTAATTTCCATTAAATAATGAACTTCAAAATTAATATAAAAATACGATTTACTTGGTCTGATAAAATTGCTTAACAGGCTTGAGACACAAAATACATTTAATGTTAAGATCGAAACCACTTAATTAGTGATTAATTTACGATAATCTATCATCACACATTATAGTAGTTGAATACACTATAAGCGACTCGCATAGGAAGGTGTCTTGAATAACTTAGATTATTTCTAAGCTGTATTGAATTTTAATGAGATACAGTAACTAATACATTTTTCAACGTGTTTTAATCTCGTTTTGTCAT